AAAAAAGAAAAAATTTGCGTCAACGCCCCGGGATTTGCTGTCCGAGCGCCTTATTGTTAGAAAGCTTGGTAGGTGTAGATATAACAGGATTGGTTGATTGGTTAAGCCAATGTAAATCAAGAGTTTTTGTTCATCAATCAAAAGTTAATATAAAATAAATTAAAAATGATGAAATACTTACATTGTTGAGGAAGCATTGTTGAGTTGAAAAGTTGAAATGAAACGACGTGTGTTTAGTTAGACGAGTAAAGTAGAAATGAAGAGAAAATGGTTGAACACAGCTTTATATACTAAGTTCTGCGCAATGCTCAGTACTACATGTGCAATGGTTGTGAGCACAACAGCTTTCTCATAAACAAAATGGTGGAATAAATCAACGTAAATGCGAGTGAAAAAATTTGCGTCAACGCCCCGGGATTTGCTGTCCGAGCGCCTTATTGTTAGAAAGCTTGGTAGGTGTAGATATAACAGGATTGGTTGATTGGTTAAGCCAATGTAAATCAAGAGTTTTTGCGCATGTTAACACCCATTTCTAGACATATAAATTGAATTGGCACGTTTTGAACGTCCCAGTCTTTATTCAATATTCAAAGTGTAGAATATGGAGGCTAGACCTTGACCTGACCATGTAAACTTTGCTGTTGAAGGCCACTAGCTCTAGCAGGGCTCAAGGTTTAATTCAATAGAAAATAACATTCCATTGTTAATAAAACATATTAACTTAAAAGCTATTTAAGCCATAAAATTAAAAGCTAAAAGCCATTAAAAAAAAAAAAAAAAAAGAAAAAATTTGCGTCAACGCCCCGGGATTTGCTGTCCGAGCGCCTTATTGTTAGAAAGCTTGGTAGGTGTAGATATAACAGGATTGGTTGATTGGTTAAGCCAATGTAAATCAAGAGTTTTTGTTCATCAATCAAAAGTTAATATAAAATAAATTAAAAATGATGAAATACTTACATTGTTGAGGAAGCATTGTTGAGTTGAAAAGTTGAAATGAAACGACGTGTGTTTAGTTAGACGAGTAAAGTAGAAATGAAGAGAAAATGGTTGAACACAGCTTTATATACTAAATGGCCGACAATGATCAAAGCCCTCGTGCATCAACGCCTATAAATGATGTCAACGACAACAACAACAGCTTAATTGAAGGCGATGAGATGAATGATGGCTTTGCTGAAGTCTCATCTGTATTTGACAGCAATTCAAGTGGCTATAATTCCGACAATGCGACTAATTCAACATTCAGTAGTATTAACAGTGGTATCGATGGTCTTGAACAACCTATAAGACTGGATCCAATAAACCTAAGAGCTATAGGTTATCATAGTTTTACTACATTAGCAAACTTACCTTTTATTAATACTTATTGTTTTTCTACTTATATTTCCCATGATAACAGTTATATTGTGTTACAAAGAGCTCCACAAATTGATCTGCGCAATGCTCAGTACTACATGTGCAATGGTTGTGAGCACAACAGCTTTCTCATAAACAAAATGGTGGAATAAATCAACGTAAATGCGAGTGAAAAAATTTGCGCCGGAAAAATGTTCGGACCCTTCGGGTCCTCACATTTTTCCGACCGCTCGCTTCGCTCGCACCTCGCTCCGCTCGTTCCTCGCTCCGCTCCGAGGTCGGAAAAATGTGAGAACCCTCGGGCCCTCACATTTTCCCGGCAAAAATCCCCCCACCCTCACCAAGCATGCGAGCGAAAAAACTTGCGTCAACGCCCCGGGATTTGCTGTCCGAGCGCGCTCGCTTCGCTCGCAAAAAATCCCGGCTCGCTTCGCTCGCTATAAAAACACTTTATTTATTTTTTAATTAAAATAATTTTTTTTAATAATGTTATATTTTTAAATAAATATTCTTATATATGTATTATATTTTTGACTAATGTTTAACGCGCTTCGCGCGTTAAACATTAGCCAAAAGCTGAAATGCTCACAACCATTGCACATGTAGTACTGAGCATTGCTCCGAACTTGTTATATAAAGCTGTGTTCAACCATTTTCTCTTCATTTCTACTTTACTCGTCTAACTAAACACACGTCGTTTCATTTCAACTTTTCAACTCAACAATGCTTCCTCAACAATGTAAGTATTACATCATTTTTAATTCATTTTATATTAACCATATTTATAATTAACCATTAGAAATATTATTAGTTTAATTATTAAATAAAATAAACTTTAATTTTAATTTTTAAAAATTTTATTCATATTATTTTTTAAAAAAATATTACATTTTATTGATTCATTAGATGTAAATAATTTCTAGTATTTAACAAATAAACATTTTGTTCATTATCTAAATAAACATTAAACATAATACCGTCTAAACCATATTCAAACCCTAACATTTCTCTTATTTGACGCAAATTATAACAGCCAACAGACTGACTCCAACCATCCCTTTCTAGTTTTCTTTCCAATTCATAAAAGCGCATCTCTTCTTCCATCCCCCAATTGTCATGTGCTTGTGTATTTTCATACTCGAGCGATGCTAGTATTGGTGGTTGAGGTGGTGGTGTTGGCAACAGTTGAACAGAATCGCTAGAATAACTTGAATGTAGTGAAGTTTCTTCTTGTTCTGATGGAGTCCCCCATCTCATCTCATTCGATGGAATCAGCGGCACATACGGTTCAGGATACTGTTGAATTTGCGATCCAAATAGGTTGTCATCTGGATCATATGATGGCAATAGATCTCCAGGTGCACCTGATGGTTGATATGGTGACATAGGTTGCGGTGTACCGTAAAATTCAGAGCCTGGCGACCATGACTGTTGTTGGGAAGCAGGCGGCTCTGGAAATTGAGTTGACGTATATTGAGGAACGTCATCATCTGCCGGCATCTGCGTAGGACTCCATGGAGCTGGTGTATACTCCAAAGAAAATACAGGAGAAGGGATGCTGTTGTCTTCTTGGGATGAAATAAGATCCACAGTATTGTTTTGCTGAGATAAAGCACTTGGAGAATTGTTTTCAACTTCTTCATCAACAGCGTAGTCGTAGATCATCTGTAGGATCTCATGATCTGTCATCCCTTGATAGGTGTTTGGCACTTGCACTGTATCCAATGGCATCTCTATTAGAGACTCAATTTCAGCTACATTGAGTTCACTGTTGAGTGATGAGTTGTTTGTTGAGTTCATAACTGAAAACTTTGAAATTTTTGTGTCGAAAGACGTGAACACTTTGAATATTGAATAAAGACTGGTGACGTTCAAAACGTGCCAATTCAATTTATATGTCTAGAAATGGGTGTTAACATGCGCAAAAACTCTTGATTTACATTGGCTTAACCAATCAACCAATCCTGTTATATCTACACCTACCAAGCTTTCTGTGTATTAACACTTTAAGGTCAAAGTTTTATAGCCTTTTTCCAGGTAGTGGATTTTAGTTTTATTACTATAATGGCTATTTTATTGAAAACAGATGTGCACTTAGTTTTAATGGCTTTTAGCTTTTAATTTTATGGCTTAAATAGCTTTTAAGTTAATATGTTTTATTAACAATGGAATGTTATTTTCTATTGAATTAAACCTTGAGCCCTGCTAGAGCTAGTGGCCTTCAACAGCAAAGTTTACATGGTCAGGTCAAGGTCTAGCCTCCATACGCAGGCATACACGACTTTACCATTGGCTACGTAAACTTCGCATATGATTGGACGCTGCTGGTTCTAGCGTACCTCTACTGAAAGACATGGATTCGATGCAGTATTCTTTGGACGCTTTGAGTATCAGTTGTCCGCTTCCTCCGGCATTGCACTGGGGTTTAGATCGCTTGATATCTATTATGTGTCGGACATAATCAATACGCAATGTAATGTCATTCCCGAAGTCGGTCAACACGATCGCGATCTGATGGACGTATCGCCAGCCGTCAGACAACACTATCATTTAAATTAATATTTTGTTTTTAATTTTTAATAATTTTTAACACAAAAAATGTGTATATTTTGTTTAAAAAAAATTTTATCAATAATTTGAATTATTTTATTTAAGTTAATAAAAAAAATTCTTTCTCTTTCTCTCTCTTCTCTCTCTCTCTCTCTCTCTCTCTCTCTCTCTCTCTGTTTATTTATTTTTTTAATCTATAATATGTGTCATACATCGAAAACTAAATTTATTAACTATTATTTTGTGTTAATTTATATATGATTTAAGATATTAATAGACAATTATAGAAATACTAGAAAAAACTAATATATATAAGTATAATGAGTAGTATATTATTTTTTTTTTAATCATAACTACATGTACTTATTTTTATATACAGTATAAAAATATACTGTACAAAAATTTAAAACAATTTTATAAATTAATAAAGAAATTTCAATTCAATAAAAAAATTGTATTAATTATGACACTAATGAATAAACAAACAAAATTGTGAACAAAATATTGTATTAAAAATCTGTATTTAAATACAGTATACTATCTCTATGTGTCTGTCGTACGGGCTGTCTATCTCTCTCTCTCTCTCTCTCTCTCTCGAGAGAGAGAGAGAGAGAGAGAGAGAGAGAGAGAGAGATAGAAATTCAATAGAATTTTTGTAATCATAATAAATTTTTATGTTATAACAAATTATATAATTGTATAAATAGTTTGTCAATTAATTTATTACAGTTTTAAAATTAATTAAACAATAAATACTTTGAAATTACTATATTATTATAGATTGTTTTATGGTATACTGTTTTTATGAAATAAATTTGGTTTATTAATCAAAAAATTTAATATTTATTTTATATAGAAAATTAATAAACATTTATAATAGTTTGATATAAAACATTTGATTTTTATTACAAATTTTTTTTAATTTAATTACAAATAAAAATTGTTGAATGTTATATTTATTATGCGATAATGATAATTTTCAATAATTATAATAATAATAATAATATCATCAGATGAGATAACAATTAGAATTGTTATATAATTTATATACAAAATATTTATATATATATTCAATATATTTATAATAAACCTCTAAAAAAATCATTTGATTAGTGATTAATTGATTGACTCGAGTGCTGACAAACACACATTGAAACTGAATTCAATTGTATTGCAATAAATTATCTGATGGTTAGTTAGAGACCAATCATCAGATATTTAAATGATAACAATATATGGCTTTTTAAATGGCAATCGGTTTTTGAAATCCCAGAGTTTTTCGGTTCAAAAACAGTGAAATCTCGCGAAACGTTGGCCGCGAGCTGTCGTTTGTTTGCCAGCAGTCGAGCATCAGATCGTATATCTCTTCGGGACAGCCGTCGGGTCGCGGCTGAGCCAGAATGCGGTGATTGTTGTCATCGCTAAACGGATGACAATATATATCTTTGTAAGTGCACTCCTGTTTGTTGAGGGAAAAGAAAATTCAGACAAATAATTAGTTTTTTTGTTATTTAAAAAATAATTATCAATCAAGTCTTACAATATTATTAGCTATCTGTTCATAAATAGAGACAACTGCTTTAAGGAATGACTGGTCATCGACGGTATGGAAAGGTTTCATTGAACAATAGGTGAGTACTTCCCACAAAAGTACGCCAAATGAGTAAACGTCAGATTTTGTGGTGAACTGTCCGTGAATTAGAGACTCAGGACTCGCCCATCGGATGGCCATTCCGTTTACGTAATCGCATTGATTGGACGATTCGTAGGCACCGGAATCACCAATTTTTATGACCAGATTTTGTGTATAGACCACTATATTACGGGCCGCCAGATCTTTGTGAACGAAACCTAACGTTTCCAAGTATTTCATACCTGACGCCACTTCACTGGCAATGTATATCAACGTTTGATAGCTATCGTCAAAAAAATGAAATGAAATTATAATTTTACAGTAAATATATGATTCAATAATATTAATTAAACTCAAACCTTATTTGTTTGTTATCACAATTGTTCAAAAAGTGATTGAGATCACAGTCGCCGACCTCGAGAACCATAGCCGTGAAGTTTGGCTCCGATATGAAACCAAAGATTTTAGCGATTCGGTCGCTTTTAGCCGATATAAACCACTTGGACTTCATTTCGTGATAAAATTCATTCTTCAATTTCTCATTACGTAAAGCCTTAACCATAACAAGACTTTCGCTATCCATTTGGTCATTGGTTTGCAATCGCATTCGTGGTTGATATTTGCCAATTGAAAGTTCACCAAATTTTGACGAACCAAACGGCGAACGAATCAAAACAATGTCCTCTTCGTTGATCTTCGGTATACACTTGAGGTCGACATTGCCGTCGTTCTGACCATTGCTACTGTATTTAAATGTCGATCCATTGGTTTTGATAAAGTTATTGTTTGACAAAGTTTTCGGCGATTTAAGGATATCAGTGGACGCATAGTATTTCTGGTGAGTTATGAATGGATTTTCAATCAAATGTTTCGGTGTTGACTTTGTCGATGATATGGATAGTGTGGTTGAGTTTTGGTTAGATTGAGTCAGGTTTGGGTTAGTTAGGGCAACATCGGGAACAGCATATTCAGGATCATTGAATGATGAGCTCCGGGATGGGCTAAAATCTTTGGGTTCACAATACAGCGGAGATGTGGCCAAATCCTAATTTAATTAATCAATTAAATTTTAATCAATATATGGAAATTTTCCAGAAATATTACAAACCTTTATTGAATGGGAAATTTCGTGACCAATATGTCCCGTTTTATCTCGTCTTTTCATATGAAATCTAATGAAAACTATGCTTCCGATGAAAATTACGGTAAAGACAATACCAAAGGCTATTAAAACAATGGTTTCACTCATAAAAAATCGGTTGCTGTGTATGCCAGCCGTTGTTATCGGTGTTAAGGCTTCTGCGTAATCCAAGTGGTGATAGCTTTCGGTAAAATTGTGTTCAAGTTTAGACAATTTAAAAGACACTTCACTAATGAGTAGCCACTTCTTGGCAAACTTGAGCTCAAACTTTGCAAACTTTCCGATGCGATGATGCAAATGAATGACTACATCTCTTGCCTTTTCAATCACATTGTCGGCCATATATGAAAACTCTACCGGTTTTTTGGACCAAGTTTTACCATCAAAACTGAACCATATTTTTGCTGATGAAAACACTTCCATGTCTTGTGAATATATATTATGACAGTGAAAGCTCGCGGACGTAAAGTTTTCATGTTTTGAAAATTGAAATATGATTTGTATTGAACTGTTGGGCTCTCCATCAGACTTCCATCCGATCCATTCAAAGCCTTTATTAACCTTATAGTTGTCGTCACCTTTGATACCATCGATCAATTGGCCGATGCCTCCGGATAGGTATCTATGAAAGTCGTGTTGTCCATCATAAGTCATGTCAACCAAATCACCGAAACGGTCGCTATCGTATCCGTTTGGCATTGAATAGGCTATGGGAAGGAATCGTTGTTTGCAACCGTATAACTCAAGTCTCAGACAAGTAGTCCTCTGATGACTGGCGAACGGCACGATTCTGACCAGATTTACGCCGACTAACGGGTGGGACAATTCATGGTTAACCACAGTATAAGTATCGATATTTCCGGGCAATTTCTAATAAATAAATATATATATATTAATACATTTTTGTTATTTAATTTTATAATAAAATACAGAATAATAATAATAAAAAATTAGTGATTTCATACATGATTGCCTGTATGATCGGTCCATTTATGCCAATTGGTGCCGTTATCTCTGGAATATTCAATCCAAAATCCCTCGACATATTCAACACCGACACCATTACCGAACCGGCCCTGAATGGCAATACCGGTCACCACATATAGACTATGTAAGTTGACTTGAATCCATTCGGTACCCGATAGCGGTGCTGTTAGCTGTCTGGACGGACACCAGGCGCCACTCGCTATTTCTCGGTTCAATCTAAACGCCAATCCAAAAAAATACGGGTCAAAAATCATTTAGCATAAAATAATAAATAATATAAAAAAATAATTGCATTTTTTGCAATGACAACCAGTATTAATCTTAATTTAAAAACTAAAAAAATTGCAAACTTTCAAAACAAAGTGTTATAAAAAACTAATTTTTCAAAACATTTATATAATTGAATTGTATTATGTATTTTGCTTTCAAATTGATTTTTAACTCAATGTATTAAATCTATGCACCCGTTGTTTGTTTGATTTTTTTACCGCAAACTTTACACCCGTTCCTCAAACACAGATCGTTAACAAAAAATTTATTGATTAATAACAGTGTGTTTAACCTTTAAATATAACACACAACGACTCCCGACTTTCCAGAGGTAACTGTGGTTTTGATTTAATATTTTCGCTTCAATTCATGTGTTTAGTGGGTTTAGTATTGATTTTTTGGACGATTGTGTGTTTGTGTGTAAAGTACAAGAAATAACAACAAACAAAATCAAATATATTGATATAACTTATAATAAATAATCATTTAAAACAACTATTTTATAGCTTGAATTTTATCTATTATTTTTTATAGATTATAAGTCACATTAAATCTTCAGCTTATTGTATGATTTCTCAAACACAATATTTCTATACAAACATAATATCGATCTCTTTTATTATAACTTATATTATATTAAATATCAGTGTTATTATATGTACAAAACATTTTGATATATTGTATATCAGAAAAAGACATTAATTGCATGTTTTGATTTAAACTGAGAGTTGAAAATTTAATAGAAATAAAAATTTAATTAATTGTATCGTATTTTTTGTGTCACTTTAAAAAGATTTTACTTTAAGAAAAATTTACAACACATTGCAGTACACAATCGTTGATATAGTTAGCTATAAAATGTATAAATAGTTTTCGTATAATAATGTAATGTAAAATAATTTAAATGAATAAATCAATTAAAGAATAGGAAAAATTCTGATTCTTTAAAAAGGGTCTTAATGTGCACTCTCTCTCTCTCTCTCTCTCTCTCTCTCTCTCTCTCTCTCTCTCTCCCTTTCCTTTACTCCCTTTCCCTTGAAAGCACACATACATTAAGATGAGGAATAGCTGAAGAAATACATATATATTAAAAGATAAGTACAACAAATAAAATATCAATTTAAGGCATAAAATCTGGTGTAAAACTGTAGTCCCCATTGCCGCTGATAGCTCTCTCTCTCTCTCTCTCTCTCAACTCATTTCCTATTTGAAAATATTCGTCGAAATAGTTATGCTTTGATATAAAAGCTTGTGTTAAGTCAGGGATGCAAACAATATGAATAGGAAAATAAGTTTTAAAGCGATAAGAATGGGTCCTCTCTTTTGAGACATTTTGCTCTCAACTATTCCCTAACACTTAGTTGAAGTTATAAATGAAAATATCTAAAAGTCCTGTTCCTTTCCCCCATTAAAATGTCGATTTCCCCACTCATATATTGCACAATACATTTACACATTTACTGTTAGGTTTTTTTTTTTGGTAAAATATCAATACAAAAATTTTTGCGATAATTTTTTTGTTAGTCCCCAAAAATATTTGGATCCATAACTACACCGTTGTTTTGCTGATAAAAAATAGTGATACAAACAAACACATTAAAGTTATGAAACAATTTCTAGACGAAATATACACACATATAAAAACTATTTTACTGTAATACAACTTAAATGATACGGTACTAAATGACTGCATCATATCGTGTGTGTGTGTGTGTGTGTGTGTGTGTGTGTGTGTGTATGTATGTATGTGTATGTGTTTGAGCTTCGGTATGACATCCATAGTAAAACACAATAGCAATTTCGAGGATAATTTGATAAATTGTTTAAAACAATTAGGGGTTTTCAAACAATGAATAAATCTCAGAGACAATCACATCATCGCATGAGAGATGACTGTGCGCTCAAAACATTACTGTCTCTCTCATCACAACTTTAGATATCATTAAAAGTTAATTACATTTTCCTCCTTTTATTTTTATGGAGGGTTCCATAAATTTAAGCATTAATTGCAAAATGTTTTGTCACAAAATATTTTTTAAGCCAAAGATTTTTAATTTCAAAATAATTTTTGACTAACATTTTTACTCAAACAAAACAACAACAAAATAACTAGATTTCAAGTTTCATATGCACTCATGTCTTCAAATTTGCTAAATATATTTATAATATCTAATTAATAAATTAAAATAATAATAATAATAACAGCAACTGTGGTGTATATGTTTTTGATGGAAAGTAATTAAAATTAATTTTATCCATTAATTAAATTCAAATTTTAATGCATTTTTAAGGAAATTATACCAACAAAAACAAAAAACAGATCAATTAAAATGAGATTCAATTATAAATGTAGTGAAATTTAAATAATAACAATCATGTGGTATAACTCTCTATACTAACCGTGCATTTTGTGGTCCGACACTCTGCTGATTGTATGACGAAGAGGCGGTTATGTCGTCATCGGGTATGACTCCCGACTCCATTCCCAGTGCTTTTGGTCCGCCGGCATAGTTGCATAAAGTAGTCTTTTTTATGTCAATTAGTGTGTAATCTGTAATATTGAGAAAAAACAAAAATAGTTTTTTATAATCACTTATTATCATTTTTTAATGTATATAAACATTAATATTAATATATATTTATAGTATATTAGATACTCTATTATAGCAATTTACACAAATATGTATTAATTGAAAAATGATGTTAAATGCGTTATTGAACGTAAAAACAAAAAAACAAAAATTAATATTTTATAAATATATTTTCTGTAATCAATTTGTTTGTTTATATTAATGTAATATTATATTACATTAGCATTACAGGATTCATAACTAATAACTGGATATATTTGTATTAAATATAATATAAATATAAATAAATATTTAATAACAAAGTAATTTAGTATATTAAATACTATATATATATATATATATATATATATATAACATTTTTGGTAATTAATTAACAATTTATATGAATTGATGTTATATTATCAATATTTATATAAATAAAATAATTAAAACTTTTATATCAATTAAAGATATTGACATAAACATAATAAACAAAAACAAAAGTATACAATACTATACAGTATACTATATTATATAAAAATAAAGCAATTTATATCATGTTTTAGCTAATAAAGTAATATACTGATAGTTTTAATCCAAGTAAACAATAAAAATAAATATTTATTAACTTTAATATAATGTTTAAGCAATAAAAATAAAAATAATGTCATTAAAATTTATAGCATATACAGTATGTATAAAAAATAAATAATATTAAATGTGCAATCATTTACTTTATATATGTTTATTACATAAAATATAAAACTATTTCTTGTTTTTTTATCTAAAATCAATTTATTTTTGTTTTTATGTAATATATAAATATATATGTAATTTCATAAAAATAATGATTTATTTAAATAATTTTTGTAAATTATGTCACTAATTTATTAGATATACAAAAATAGAAAAACAAAAATTTTTAAAATAATTTTGTGAACTAATTTGGCATTAAAAATTTTTAATAACATTAATAATATTAATATAATGTGCCAAAAAAATCAAATAAAGTGTGAAAATTAATTAACAAATTAACTATAATATAAATTATAAGCATTAAAATCATCATTAATTGAAATAATTTTGACCCAAAACAAGAAGAGAGCTATTAATGTGTCAACAAAATAGATATCAAAATATAAATAGTTATATAAATAGGATTATTATATCTCATATAAAAAGGAGTAAATGCTTCACAAATGCCAAGACATTAGTCACTAAATAAAAAGAAATCTATTTTAACAATGTTTTTGACGGCAACTCTGAGAGATAGATAGTTAATGGACGGACACAAAGAGAGTATGGTTTTAATGGACAGTTATATAAAAAGACAACCACCAAAATAATAATAATACTAATAATAATAATAATGGCCAACAAAACAATTGTTAAGAGAGAGAAAATATTGTGAATCCAATTGCGCTCATTATTACATAAGAAAAGAGTGATATAAAAAATAAAAATAAAAAATAGATGTAGTTTCCTATTATTTTTAGGATATATATATATATATTAGTTGTAAAGAAAAAACATCAGTGAATTATAATAAGGGCATTAGGTTTACCACACAAACATATATAAGTTTATATATACAGAGACAGTGATAATCGTGATTTGACTGACAAATGAAACTAAATATATAACTTATAATACATAAGACAATACACACACACTTTTATCGACCAATACCTAACTGTCTATGTTATTGATGTATGTTTAATATCTTTTTGATTAAATGTCTTAAACCTATTATTTAATAGCAAAACTTTAACATTAAAAATGATTAATTATTATGAATTTCATAGGTATTGACCGCTACTCTAATGACAAGCATATCCTTATTGTGTGTTTTTGTGTTTATATATCACATACTATATAAATAAAATATATATAAACTTGTCGTGAATTTGAAACATAAAATTGTTGGACACATTTATATGGCTAATAATTTTTGTGCTAAAAAAAGTAAATATTTGGTGCTATTGTGTGAACAGTGAGATCTTACACACGTCTGGTACACAACGGGCCCATTGCGTGATCGCCATCAGTGCCATCAATAATACCGAGTATTGTAAATACCAGTTACTATTATATATAAAAAGTATATATACTGTATATATATATAGTATATGACATATACAGAGCAGGATCTACTGGATGTGTCGACTTTTTTTTGGTGATTGCGTGCAAAAACTATTGGACCACAAGTTATATATATAATATATAATATATAATATTATATCATAAACTATATATATTCCGATACTATATTTCAAGTAATATATTATATGCAAATCAGTTATAATCAAATTTGACACGAAAAACATTTTTGTTGCTTTCAGATTTTTGCATCAAAAATATATTTCATGAAAAATAAAAAATATATATATAAATAAATATAAACTGTATAATACAAACTGTATTTAAAGTATATATACAGTATATATATATTTGATGTATAAAACTATGCCATTTACTTTAAGTTTAAAAAAATATCATTTAAAAAATTTGTATATACTCTCAGATGCACTCAATTTAAAAGTATATTTTCTAATAAAATTTATTTAGTTTATACAGTCTTAGTGTATATCAAATTGATTGATATTTACGTACAAACGTGTGTACTATTATTGTCCATTAGATAGACACGCAAAAAGGAAATACCAGCTAAAAGAAAACCTAACTTTACTTCCAAAAGAATTGCTTATTTATCACAAATCCTACTCTCGTTTTGTGTCATAAAAATTGTTTATAACAACAGTTTTATGGAGAGAGAGAGAGAGAGAGAGAGAGAGAGAGAGAGAGATCATTGAGAAAATTGAAAACTTTTCGATAAAACAAAAGCATAAAAATAGTCAAAAAAAAAGCTTTAAGAGAAAAAACATAACTGATTTCATGAGCTCCTTATATATATATATGTCTTAGATAGAAAAAGAGAGAGAAAAAACAAATACTTAAAATCAAGTGCTAATGTAATTGTTGTGACAAAACACATATACAGTATATACCCAACAATTTATATATGATATAACACAACGACATTGATAATGGCTATACAGTATGTTATAATGGATAGGGAGAGAACCGAGACATACATATACAGAGAGTAGTAGTACACCATTAATACACATTTGGAAACGTTTGTGACGATAGCTTAAGATCAGCAAAAGAAAAGGAGTCTAACATTACTTTGTTATCGCACTGACGTTTGCCAACAAATAAGTGGCACAAATGATACCAATAGTTATATCATAAACACATCATAAGCGAGAGAGAGAGAGAGAGAGAGAGAGAGAGAGAGGACAGTCGACTATAAGCAGATGCCAGACCCAACCGATGGCATCACATTAATATTATGTAGTCGTGATTTGAACGACAAAATGTTGACTCCATTTATATATTATTATTATTATTATTTGTGTCACAGATATTATTGCTATAGTCATCGACTTATCTCTTATTTTCAATGGCAGTGATTGTATGGCATACAACACCCAGAAAAGCCTCTTTCTTTTTTCTCAAGTATAAGACCTAACTCTTATATAATATATATCTATAAAGTATATAAAAGATATGCCATTCATTGTGTAATACATGTAATTAAATGTTGGGTCAGTTATGACCATTAATACTAAGTACTGTCCAGATATTACTCTCGAAGGCTTACATTCAAGAGAGAGATATATAGAGAGTAAAGTCATCACAAAATAAGAGGAAATCAGTCATTCATTCAAACAACTCGACCAACGATTCATTCATTTGTCATAAGATTTACGCAAAAGAAAAGACTGAACAAAATAGTGGTCGTCGACGACATTGTCTTCTCTTTGTTTGTGTCTATACATCGCCTCAAGGATATGATGAGCACTCCATTAACCATAAGAAATACTGTACATGAAATGACATCAATATTATTAAGAGAGAGAGAGAGAGAGAGAGAGAGAGAAAGAGAAAGAGAAACACAAGAGACTTATGAAGAGATGACAAACAAAACTTATATATACCGTACTGTATATATATATATATATATAATAATAATAATAATAAAACCTAACATTTCTGTGTCTGTGTAATGAACAATGCCTTCAACACTAACCATCATTTGAAGACATGGCATCATAACAGGCAATGGATGAGATCAGACATGAGGAATGAGTGAGTGAGAGAAAGAGAGAGAGAGAGAGAGGGAGACTTCAAAGAAATAAAAAATGGTATAAATTATAGAGAAAATAGTCACTAATTATAATAAAAATAGCAGAAAAAGTAATAATAATATCAATTGAATGAAATGGTTGTTGTAGTCGATGTTAAAGTGTCAGTAAAAGAAACATACATTAAAGGCATGTATATTATACAGTATAATAAAAAATAGTATACGAAATATCAATTCAATGGTTTTGTATTTGTGATCATTATAACTAAATCCCAATTTCTATGTAAACACTTTTTTATATGTAGTGTCGAGTATATGTACTACAGTTGAGAGAGAGAGAGAGAGAGAGAGAGAGAGAGAGAGAGAGAGAGAGATCTGACAGTGACTTTACTTTACTGTAGATTGACTATGAATAGCAAGTATATTGAATAGGGAGAAGGGTTTGTTTAGACCAATTGATTGTTCAATACTCTCTCTCTCTCTCTCTCACTCACTCACTCACTCACTCACTCACTCACTCACCCACTCACTCACTCACTGACTCTCTATAATCCCATTACTTCTATTCGCATGAATGCATCTCTAAGTTGAAAAGTTAAGGCAATACCGATCGCACAGAGCATTGCATTACATATATCGAGATCTCTATTCTCCAAACACTATCCAACGATCAGAAAAAAATTTTGATATATTTTTTTGCACTCAAATATAAATAATTTTTTAGGTTCACATCTCTCTCTCTCTCTCTCTCTCTCTCTCTCTCTCTCTCTCTCTCTCTCTCTCTCTTCAAATCGCTTTTATTCATTCAAACGGTTCTCTTCTATGCTT